GAAGTCGGGGAAGTGGCCGAACGATTCCACTGATGAGGCAGTAACTGACGAGGCAACAACTGGTGAGCCCATCAGAGATGAGACCGCCACTGAAGAGGCCATAATTGGTGAGACAATAACTGGTGGTTTAATCATTGATGAGGCCGCAACTGGTGGGCAGGACGACACGGATGTGGGGACGGGCGAAGATCGTGACGACGAAGCGAACGTGGTGGCGCTCCTCGGCAACACGCTCTTCGACGACACGTTCTTCAACGACGCGCTCTTCGACGACACCCTCTTCGACGACACGCTCTTCAACGACAGGCTGTTCGACGATGCACTTTTCGACGGCAACCTTCTCCAGCACAGCTTCCTCGATGAAGAGGGCCTGAACCAAAAAAAGGGCAAAAATGATATCGTCAAAGACGGCTGTACACACGCCAGCGAGGCAGATGACGGCCCAGTGGCAGGTGGCCCAGTGGCAGGTGGCCCATTGGCAGGTGCCCCAGTGGCAGGTGCCCCAGTGGCAGGTGGCCCAGTGGCAGGTGGCACAGTGGCAGGTGGCACAGTGGCAGGTGACTGTGTTCCAGACGACACGGAGTTGGCGTTGATTGTGCCAGACTTTGAGAAGAGGATAACAAATGAAGGACCAAGAGCGGCTCGTCGGTTGGTGGATGCCTTGGTATCGGAGAGGAATGCGGTGGCGGTATCGTCAGAGTCGTTGCGATTCCTGGAGGCGTTGTTGTATTACGGGGAGTGCGTGAAGCGGGAGTATCCAAGAGTGCTGGAAGCGGGTGTTCGATTAGACTATGTCTTAGCATGTGCAGCGTTATTAGGTCCGCATACGTTGTACTTGGATGCTGATGTATATCGTGTGCACAATGCGAAGGTGAAGGGTCGGTTGTTGGGGTTGCGTCATGTAGTGCGTGGATTACGTTACGAGAATTTGAACGAGGTGTTATGGAGCTTGTCTTTTGCCTTTTACACACATAACGTCCCCGTTGGGGAGGTGTTACAAGAGTGTCCGTCAGGTCCCGAGAAACGTTTATTAGAGTTTCTATTACGTGAAGGCGATAACGACCGTTTCCCCAATCTCGAACGGGTCGTGCTTCCTATCTGCTGGAGTCGCGATATGGATTCCATCTGGGATCTACTTGGCGAATTCTTGCTGCTACGCCACGAGTTTCTATTTGAAAGCGATCACTATCTCCCACATTCAGCCCACGGCGATTTCCGGCGCCTCTTGATGACCGATAATCTTTTGGTCTCCGATTCGTATTGGTCCACTTTCCTCCAGAAGTACTTCGAACTCGGTATCACGGTTGATCGAAAACAAAACCGCCTTACCCAGAAGCTTTTCTGCGACCTATTGCCATTGGAGTGCTTTAACGCCCAGGACCTAGACCGTGTCATTGCTGCCATGGAACCTTCTTCGGTGCTCAGCAATTCCCCCTCCTTGGCGTGCGTACTGGCCTCCCGCTACCCGCTTCCACCGGGACTCTTTGGCGAGACCGACATCCCCGTGTCGTCTGGTATCACATACAAGGTGGGGGATGTGCGGTACATACACTGGCGTCTCATGACTAAGGTACTGGCAGCCATGCAGCTCTCCGACCAAAAACTGTTGGCGTACATGCGGGAGACCTGGACCGACGAGGAGATCAGTCAAACATGTCGCCTTCTCATACGCCGACAAGTCATCCTCCGGAAAGAGGTCGACCTGCTCCCGAGTCTCTCCGTATCCTCGCTGAAGTCCTATGCAGGACGCTGGCAGCTTCTCGATACGGTGCTTTCTTGTTTATCACACGTCAGGCTCCACCACAACTACGCGTTCTGGCTGCTCACGGGCGATAAACCCGTCCTCCCTCTCGCCAGGCTGCAGAAAGCTCCGAATGGGCGTCGACAAGTCCTCCGTAAGCCGGGCGGCGGCAGGCAATATGAGGTAAGGCCGCTTCCGCAAGAGCTTGTTGAGAACCCGCCGGCCCCGTCGGTTACCGAAACGGCCCCGTCGGTTACCGAAACGGCCCCGTCGGTTACCGAAACGGCCCCGTCGGTTAACGAAACGGCCCCGTCGGTTAACGAAACGGACCCATGGGTTAACGA